CCTCGTGGGTTCAACTTCTTGTATGACCAGAAGACAAGTTTGATATTCTCAATGCATTTGAGCCATTTTTTTTCAGATTATTGGAATAATAATTACTTCCCTTGTCCATCTTAACTTTGTTTTTATATGGCAGTTCCAATGTACCTGCAGCTGGGTACTGCACACATTTATTTCAGTGTGTGTGGGGTTTTTTCCCTTGAATTTCAAGGCTGCTTTGAATGAGAAAGGACAAGGAATTGGAGGGACTTTTGGCTGTTTATTCAATAGCCAGGGCAACACACCAATTTCTGTATTAACTTCTGTTTCCTCATTATTTTATTCCCTAAAGATTATTACGATTAGATTCCAGGATTTTTTCTAATCAGTCATGACATGGCTGCAGAAATGTAGGGTTGGGAAAACCCTATATTTGGGACATGCTCTGCGAAGATGTGAGAGAAATTGCTGTCATGTAAAACCAGATGTGTTCTTATCTGATGGTCTTAATTTGAGGTTGAATCTTAGCAAAGAGTCAGCACAGATTAACAAGGACAAGAAATGGTTTATCTTCCTGTGTGGATAACAGCAGTTCAGCCCATGATTTATGGATCTCTTTGATAATGCTTGGCCAGCTCTGAGCCAGCACAGCTCAGTTCCAGTSAATTTGGGGTGGTTGGGGTTGGTTCCTGTCCACCCATGGCTGATCCCCCGTGGGTTTCCAGCTCCTCTGTGGGGATCTGTGCTGGGCTGGGAGCTCTGAGTGGGGAAAGAGAACCATAAATCAGGGATTTCTTGTGGGATAACCGAGGCATTGGGGCAGAGCAGGGACCTCCATCCTCGTCAGAGCTCAGAGCAGGCAGCTCCATCCTCCTTGGAGTGTAGGACAGGCTCCTCCATCCTCCTCAGAGCTGAGAGCAGGTTCCTCCATCCTCCTCAGAGCTCAGAGCAGGCACCTCCATCCTCCTCGGAGCTCAGAGCAGGCTCCTCCATCCTCCTCAGAGCTCAGAGCAGGCTCCTCCATCCTCCTCAGAGCTCAGAGCAGGCTCCTCCATCCTCCTCAGAGCTGAGAGCAGGTTCCTCCATCCTCCTCAGAGCTCAGAGCAGGCACCTCCATCCTCCTCAGAGCAGGCACCTCCATCCTCCTGAGAGCTCAGAGCAGGCTCCTCCATCCTCCTGAGAGCTCAG